GTTTACCCACCAATTTTATGTTAACATATTTTTAAATAAATATTAATAAAAATCACATTACATACACACACGCATCTATATAATATAATGTATATATATTATATTTTATTATAAAAAATAAAAAAGGTAATATAAAATATTATTTTTTATATTATAGATATAATTTCTCGTCACTCACAAACACAAAAAAGAACATAAAAAAATTACTTCATTCGTCTCACATTGCATGTTCGGATCACGGTAGACACGAGAATTTAGAATAAGTATAATTAGTACATAACTAATAATATATTAGTAAAAATAATTATCCAAGCATATAAATAATTATAGATTAAAATTAAAATAATTAATTAGTATAATTAAAATTTAAAAAAATTAAATTAAAAAATTTAAAATGAAATTAAGTGTATAATCATTTTTCAAAAATAGAAAGTAACATGAGTTGTGAGATAGACAAAAACAACGATGTAGACATAAATGTGGGATGGAGGAAGTACTTCAAACTAAAAAAACAAACAATATATTTATAATTTAGTTTTAATATAGTGATATAAATAAATGTATATTGAAAAGAATTTTTAATATAAAGTGAAGTTTATTGGAAAAATTTATTGTTTGTTATATTGTAAATCACAATAATTAATTTTGATGTCATTAAATAATTTAATCAATTTTAATTTCATTTAGAATAAAATTAATCAATATTGATAATATGATATCTGACATCGATTGAACATAGCTATATTATAAAATTTAAGATATTGACTAAATTTTACAAAAAGTCAAGATAGTTATATTCAAAATATGGTACTTCCTCCGTACCATGTAATATGAATGCATTACTGTAAACACAGAAATTTAGTTAAAGTATAATTATGAAGTAATTAAGAAGTGTATTAGTAAAAATAATTATTGTATTGTAAAAAGAATTATAGATTAAGATTAAAATAACTAAATAGTTTAATTAAGATTAAAAAAATTTTATAATTTAAAATTTAAAATGCGATTAAAGTGTATAATTATATGTCCAAAAAAAAAACCCAAATTATGTGGGACAAAAAAAAATAAAAAATATGAACAAATTATTTGGAACGAATGGAGTAATATTTATCACTTTGTCCTAACATGGCCAATGTTCACCGATTATTCACTACTTTATTCTAATATTAATATGATCATGTTCACGATCTAATACGGTAATATTCATTCTATATCCAAATTATTTAATATATATATATATTTATAATTCAATCAAAATATTTTTTACAATTATTTAAAAATCATTAATTTTTAATATTTTAAAAAATAATTAAAAAATAAGAATAATAATAAATTATATATTTCTTATAATTGTAATTATATATATATTTTTTTAATTTTCAAAAGTTCAAAAATAAATCATAATTTATAATTTTAAAAATAAAAAATATAAATATTATTTAAACATATGTATAGTAAAATAATGTAAGCAATATATGATCATTATTTATTTTTAACTAGAAATTTATAGTCATCCATTAAAAACATAAATTATTAATGTTCTTTTACTGTATAATTTTTAAAATAATAAATTATCAATTAAATTTACTTTAAAATTCTTACTAAGAATTTAATTGATTTTCATAATTCAAAAATAAATAAAATTGGAGTTTTTTTTTTTTTTTTAAAAAAAGAAAGAAATTAGGAGTTGGTACTTATTTGAAATTTCATATTGGTTTTTCTCTTATGATAGTTGATGGAGTTATTGAAAATTGATGATGTTCTTGTATCTTATGCAAATAAAATAGTTTCGATAAAATGGTCTTCGGTGTTGGACTGGACACGTTGGCCCGTTGTTGTTGGCATGACGTTGATATAGTTGACATGTCATCGCTACATAGATGCTACATCAGCAACATATATATATAATTTTTTTAAAAAATTTTATTTTATAAAATATTTTGGTAAACTATTTTTTTGTCTCATATCTCTTAATTTTTTTTAAAAATCATTTTATAATTTTAAATGAACCATGTCTGAAAATAATATGCAAACAAAAAATTTTCGCTAAAATGAACCACCGACTTGTCATTGATACGACGATAACATGTCAGCCGCGTCAGCGCCGCATCAGCAACGGCAGACCAGCGTGACAAATCCGGCACTGGATGACCAATTTAGCTAAAGTATTTTACTCACGGAATTATTTTTAGATATGGTTCATTTAAAGTCCAAAATTATAAAATGGATCATATGCGAGACTATTATCCTATTTATTAAGTTAAGGTTATAAAATTGTGGGTGAATAAAATTGTTTAATATAAATAATTTGTGAATAAGTTTAGGGGATAATAAAATGAGAAATAGTTATATAATTTTGATGGTCAAGAGAAAGTATATATTTTATTTATTTAAATAATATTTTTTTTATGTGATTTTTGTAAAAAGAAGTATTTTTTTATTGAAAACAATATTAAATTAATAATGTTAATTTAAAGTTGAAATTCATACCAAAATATATTATTTTATCTTATAGAATATTTAATCTACATAGTATTTATACTAAAATTTAAATTAAAAAAAATCAAAATCAAACAAACCATATAAAATACTTTTTTCATATGTAAATTTATTATAGTTGTTTTTAGTTCGTCCTTTAAATTTATCTCATTATTAATGTTTGTAAAAGTCAACAAATTAATATTTAATTATTATCTTTCATTCAACACTTATTTACAATATATATCACTAACTTTATACATTAACTATCTTCATTTACTTTAATTCATAACTAAATTTTCCAAACTATTATCAACTAACTTTTTATTATTATCATTTTTAAATAAAATATTCTTTTTTTTCTTTTAATTTCTGTGCCGGATTCAAATTGGATTAATTTTAATAGACAGATGAAGATGAAGTATATAATAATTGAATTTTAAAAATATAGTCACCATAATCCAGAAGTTTTTTAATCCAAAATAAATAAATAATTTTCAAATAAAAATATATTTAAGGTGTGTTTGTTTGGGTGATTGGATTTTCAATCCACTATTCATCTCATTTTTTTTTCCCAAAAATATCAAATTAAATACCTATTTTTCATTTTTTATATTATACTAAAAATCAATTTTACATTCAAAACATCACATCAAACCCTATTTACATCACATCACACAACTATTCAAATTCAAATTTTTTACTATTCAAATCCCAACTCAAAATCCAAACCTCCAAACAAACACACCAAATATGCTTCATTTGTCCTATCATAAGATATATATATTTATTTTTGCCCTAAAATTTAAGAAATAATTGTATTTTAATTAAAGTGAACAGATAAAGTAGTGTAAAATATAGATATTTATATAAAAGAATGGAGTTATAATTACTAAAAGGGAAAATATATACGATAACGCAGGACAGACAAAAATAAAAACATATATACACTAAGGTGGAACAGAGGAATATTAAGTTTGTTGTTTTACTGTATATTTTATAATACAAAAATAGATAAATTGTTTTTAACTTCCATCTCTTACCCAAAATTGTTATATAATTATTTTTTTCGCAAAAATATCATTTTATCGCTGTATTGATACATTATCGATGATGTGGCTCGCCATATCGATTTGGCACTAATGTGTCTAATTTCACAACATAGCGTGAGCGCCAAGTGAATTTTTTTTAAAAATTTTTATATAAAAAATATTAAAAATCTAAAAATTTAAAAAGTGATAAGTGGATTATAATTCAATCTCTTAAGATACTATAAAAGTAATTGGATAAATAAAAAAATAATGATAAATTAATTATTATTTATTAAAATATAATAATAAAATTATGAGTGAATAAAATTTTTTATAAATAAAGTATGTATAAATTTAGCAGAAAAAAGTATTTTTATAATGAATTGTAATAATTTTATAATAAAAAATTTAAAAAATTCAAATGAAACTTGAGTTTGTTGTAATTTTTCTAAATAATACAAATTTAAATAAAAAATTAAATTTAATATTTTGAATAAAAGATATATTTTATATAAGACTTTAAGTAATTATATTTATTTAAAAATTTTGTTTGCCGAATGGGTTTGTTTGTTTTGGGAAAAGAGTTAATATATTTTTTTCAAAAAAATTACTATATTACACACTTACTAGGTAATTTTTTATTCCTCACATACAATTATTTCACAAAACAAACAAAACCAATTTATTTTAACAATTCCAAATATATATTAGGTATGCTCAAATATTTTTTCTTCCATATATTTTCAATATATATATTTTTTATTTTTTCACAAAAATAAATATTCAATATAAATCTCTATATTCTACATTAAAAAAATTCAAATAAAAAATATTAAACAAACAAACCCAATATATATTCTATCATCTTATAAAATTCAATATAAAATATTATTACCCCCGTCCCACGTACTGTGTCTGTACACTGTAGACACAATATTTTAAAAATGGTGTAATTAGTAGATAATTAAGAATGTATTAATGAAAATAATTATTCTATAATATAAATAATTATAAATTAAGTTAAGATAACTAATTAGTTTAATTAAATTTTAAAAAAAATAAAATTAAAAAATTTAAAATGAGATTAAAGTATGTAATTATTTTCTAAAAAAGGAAAGTGACATGATACGTGGGACAGAGAAACGGCAACGTGGACATGGTACGTGAGATGGAGAGAATATTATATATATTATTGTTGTAATTTTTTATACTTGAAATATGAAAAACTAGCTGAAATCAAAACAATAATCAAACAAACATTTAAAACACAAATAAATAAAAGCTTTTATTTCATTTATTTTCTTATGAAAATTATCCTAATATATATGCATGTGTCCACCGACAGTCGACTAGAATATCTCACAGAAGCTTGCACATTGTGTGATTTATATATTTAAAAAATTATTTATAAAAATTGAAATAATTTAATATATATATATTAAAATTTAAATTATCGTTGAAGGCCATGATTCAGGTCAGGATAAGCAAAAGGTAACATAATTTGGTCACATATTAATTTCTCATAACATTTTTGTATAATTTGGAATTCTGATAATTAGAAATTTGCAAAACAAATTCAAAAAAAAAAAAAAAAAAAAAGCTTCAAATTAATTTAGGGGAAATTGAGGAACCAAAATTAGAACAAAACTGAAACCTATTGTTGAATTTGGCCTCCGATTTTGGAATCACAAAATGCCCCAAAGATCCTTTCGTCTCCGCCAAGTTTTCGCCGCAGAGGAATTCGCCGCTGCAAATCCTCTCCAATTCGCGGTCAATTTCGTGGACGAGCACGTGCGTCGCCGCCGCGCCGCCGCGTTTGGTCCGCGCTAGGACGCCGGAGGTGAAGATCGGTGCCATTCTTCCCGGCGCTCCGGCAAAGTACCCCCGAGGACCGTCGATTAGAATTATGTCCCAAGCGACGTCGTATATGTGGTTCGGCAGGTCGTTTATGGCTAATCTGCAGTCGGAGAAGAGGAGGTTCTGCACCGGCCGGCACTCGCCCGCCGCCTCCGCCTTGTAATACTCGATTAGATCGCGCAGCTCGCTGACCTTCGTCGTGAATTGCACGTCGTACGCCTCAATCGAAGGGTGCTTCTCCTCGAGCTTCGAGATCAGGTACGCGCTCTCGTCAACAAACACCGTCCGTCCGTTGTAGTTCAGCGACCTCCAGAGGAGCGTCTCGCGCGTCAGTCCGAAAACGAGGAGGTTACACGGCGCCGCGCAGCGGCGCACCACGCCGGCGATATACCTCACCTCGTCGGCCGACATCCTCCCCGACGACGTTGTATTCTCTGAAGCGTAGTGAAGAAGCGCGTCGAACACTGGATCCGGAATCGGTGTCGATTTAACCCTCGCCGCCGCCGCGGATTTTTCACCGGAAACAGTGGCGTCTCTGGTGTTCAACAGAGTGAAAGCGAAAGTGAAAATAAAGAAGAGCACAAAAATCCCTAGCCACGCACGGTGGAAACCTCCGCCGCCGGACTTGTGAACAGACGGGTGGAAGACGATAAATCTGGCGGTGGTCTTCATATGCAGGCAAGGTGTTCGACGAAACAACTGAAGCAGAAAATCTGCAAGAAAAGTGGGCAAATGATTAGGATCTTCAACCTCTCAATTCTCACATGGAACAATTAGAGCTCTCTCTGAGTCACACACAAACAGTGGCACTTCTCACAAGGTCAGTAGCTATATTCATAAACACTCCTTAAATTTCTCCACTTGGATTTATGGTTCTTCTGCTTTTTCAACTTTTACTTTTGTGTTTGGTTGGGATAATAAATAATGGGGGAATGATTTGATGCTGTGAATTATGGGATATTTGAATTCAGTGGCCCCCCAAACAAAAGGGATTGACTGTGTCTGTTGGGAAATGAACAGAGACAAAGAGCTCTTAGGTTAATTGCAAAAAGGGTTTCAGATAATGATGCAGTAAACTCTCAATAATTTGAATATAGAGTTTTGGGGCCAAGAAAAGACAAATACTACAATGGTGGGTAGTGGAATTTAGATTGCAGAAAGATGGCATGAATTGAGGGATTTGGGTTGAGAAATTTGTCAATTTGGAATGTGACTGACTTACACTAAACTCTCTCACTGCTTTGCTTTATACCCTACCCTCTACAGTTGATGATGATTGCAATTAATGAGTATAATTTCATTATCAGAAAGTGTTAAATAAAAAAGATTGTTCATTGAATTGGTTAAATGAATTTTTTTATCACATCACTACATGAGTTTGGATCCAAGTGTTATTAGAGTGGGGATGATAAGGATTTCTGAACTGATTGTGTTTTTTTGTACCTTTTACCTTTTTTTTTTTTTTTTTGTTTTTATTAAATTATAAACAATTGAATTGAGATAAGTTCTATATATATATATAAATATATATATATATAGCACAATTATATGATATAAGAATATGTGTTGTGTAAATTATATTATGTACTTTGTAATATATGTAATTATATAATGTGGTGTCATATACTCTTTCCGTCCGCTTCCGCTTCTAACAGTCGTATTTACATTTTTGTATCATTGTATTTACTATTAAAAATATTCTTATATTTGTATAATTTTTTGAACAAATATCATTCTCTTAGTATTATAAGACACTGATGAAAGTATTTTTTTTAATTTTTTCTTAATTTGTCTTACCTTTTGATATAATAATTAATATTTAAAAATTAACAAACAAAAAGTAAATAAGACCTTTAGAACGGACGAAGGTAGTATTATATTGCCTTATCATAGATTGTCGAATATGTATTGTCTACTTTATGAAAATGTATTTATAGGATCAAATGAATAGTATATTGAATTAATCCGATCAGCACGGTGATCGAAGCATAAATAGGTCATTAGTTCATGAACACCCATTGTTAATCTAGTCATAAGTCAGAAATTGGTAAGAATTGAATGTTTAATTAAATTAGTTTGTTGATAGTAATATTTTGAATACTCCATAATATGTATATTGCGTGGAAATTGACTTAACCTTGTAGTCTTTAAATACAGTGAATATATAGGAGTGAATTTAACTAACTACTTTGCATTAACCTAATGCAATATATGAGAGTGATATTTCTGTCTTTTTTTGGCTAGTCTTGCGTGTTTTCGTGACAAGTTTACCAAGATTTAATAATTCAAGTAAAATTAAAATATTTGGGTCCGAAAATTGAAAAAAAAAAAAAAAAATTAATAGAAATATCAAGGGCTGTTTGGTTCAACGCTTTAATGGAATTTGGATTTTAAAATCCCATAAAATCTATATTTGGTTAAAATAAAAAGGATGGAATTAGGTCAAAAAAATCCTACAAATGAAGGATTTTTTTTTTTTGTAATAGGGGTACCCTTATTACTTTTAAATCATATTCCAGCAATTTTAAAATTTTACTTTTATATCCTCCTAAAAAAAATATTATATATTATAAATATATTTATATAATATAATTATTAAATAATTTTAAAAATAATTATTATTTGAATTATATATTCAATCAAATTTTAGTATTATTTTTTATGGTACAATATTTTTTTTTAAATAAGTTAATAAATTTATTGTTTAAAATTATTATTTATTATAAATTTTATTTGAATTATAAAATTTTAGGAATGACAATGAGTCGGTTCAGCCGGAAATTCGTCCCCAATTTATAATGTTAGATTCGAGATCTAAATTGGATCCGATTATACCGGACCTGACCAAAATTATACTAGTAAGACCAGATGGATATGAAAAATCCTATTTTTTTACAACTTTAATTTAAAATTGTACATGTACTCGACCCAACATTTATTAAAATTTATATATTTTATTAAAATGTTATTGATATCTTTTCAATTTAAATTAATAATAAATTAAAGATTTAATTTATCAAAATAAATAAAATTTATAGGAGGATAATTATATCATTTAGAATATAAAAATTTTAAATCTTCAACTCATATGGAAAACAAGCAAAATGTGAGAAATATAAAACCTACATAATTTTATGAGCCAAACATAAGATAGGATTCAAAATCTTAAACATAATAAATTTCATCACATATAAATCATACTGTGAAATTCTAATCCCACAAAAAAAAAAGTCATGAACCAATTAATGTATTTATTTACTTTTTAGCAATTATATTATTTATTTTAACATGAAAAATATTTATACATTAACAATATATTACATAAATATAATTATTTTTATTTAACCAAATTACAAAATCAATACACAATAATAATAGATGTGCATTTGTATTATATATATATATTTATTAATATTAAAAAAAGAGACAGACTGAATATTATAAATTTATTTGATTTGAATTTGAAATTGATTTTTTTTTTTTGTTTGTTTACATTAGTATTTTGATAATCAGTTGACAACATACACCCAAATCTATATGTTAAACACATCATCATTCATATTTTTCTAAATCTTATTATTATTATTATTATTATTATTATTATTATTATTAGATAATGATGTATACTTCATGTCATTTAAATTTGTTTTTATTTTTTATTATTATTTTTCTATCATTTAAAAATATTTTTATTTTTAATTTAATAAATAATTATATTATATTTTTATTATAAAAACACAAAAACTATATAATATATTAAAATCCATTCCAAAAATTTGAATACATTTTTTTATTTTTTATTTTTGTGAAGGAGGAAGTATCTTTTAAATAATAATGGGATGGATGGATACTTATGACGTTAATGATGAGATAAGAAGAGAGCTGACTTTGAAGATTCCGCGTTTAACGGCTAATTTTGCAGTTAGTTACCTCATTAATTACTCCCTCTGTCGGCTGCCCCCCTTCTTTCTTTGACACGTGTGTAATGCTGAGGCGTGTTTCGATTGTAGTACTCTCTCAATCCAACTTATGGCGGTCATTTTTTAATCTAAAATTTTTATTTATTTATTTTATTTAAAAAAAATTTAAATTTTTTTATATTTTTTATTTGTATAAAATTTGGTAATTTAGATATTTATTTAGCATCAAATATTAGTTTTTGACGAGAAGTGTCTTTTATGCAAATTTTACAATAAATAAAACGCACGATATTTTTGTACATTTTTATTAAAATACAAGACAGGCATTATATAATTTACCCTAAAATATATGTTGAAGCTACTTATAATATATATAATAATAGAATTACAATTATTAATAATAAAAATACAAATAAAAATAGTGTTTCAACAAATGGTACTAATAATAAAATATTAATTTTAATTACACAGAAAGACACTTAATTTTTCCATAAAATCTAACATATAAATTATTATTTAAATAAAAATTAAAATCAAACTTTAAAGTAACATATACTCCTTCCGTCCACAAACTAATGTCTTTTTTTATTTTTTATTTTTGATGTTCAACAACTATTGTCCTATTTTATTTTTTAAACACAAATTTTACATTTTTACCATTCATTAATTCATTACTTTTAATCTCTACCATACAATTAAGGATAAATTTATTAATTCATAACAAAAAAGAAAATCACCTAAAAAACTGTACAAATATACTTTAGGATAATAGAAATTAGACGGAGAGAGTATATTGCAAATCTTTCTACATATAATTTAACAAAGGCTATCCCGTAAGGGATGACTTAGTGGTGTGGAGGTAGACTTATGGCCGTGAGTAATGAGTTCAACCCCCCGACGCTTTCAGTTCACCTGCTACATATAGTTCACCTAGTATGACGTAATTTGTCGGGCCTGATTTGTAGGGTAAAAAATAATAATTAAAAGAACAAGTGGACTTATTTATGTGTAGGTATCCAAACTCATTCAATACTGTGATATATTCTCTTCGTCCTACATAATTTGTCCATATTTTTTATTTTTTTTTGTTCCACATAATTTGTCTTACTTTTTTTTAAAAAAAATATAATTATACACTCTAATTACATTTAAAATTTATAATTTTTTTAATTTTAATTAAACTATTTAGTTATCTTAATTTTACTAAATTAGATAGGACGGATGAAATATAATACAATAAGTCAACCACATAAGAAAGCACACTGCATGAAGTGACAAAATACATAATTAAACAATTTCATCAACAATAATTTCATGGCACAATTACTATTTATTCATAACCAATCTCGATCCTTAAATTATATATATGTATGATGAAACTATGGTTAATCACTGCGATGTTTACCCTTATGTTATCGAACCTGTAACCATTGCTCTTATACTTTATTGATTAAAAAGAATATATAAATCATGACGAAAATAATCATATACTCCTCCCGTCCCATAATTAGATATCAATTTGTTTGTTGCACGTAGTTTTAGAAATATTAGTATTATATTAGAATGCAGTAAGAATAAAGTAGAAATGACTAAAATAACATTATTAGTATGTGTGATATAAAGGTAATGACATTTGTGTAATATATTGTAAGTCGTAAGGGCATTTGTAATGTTAGGTAGATAGTGCAGTTATTAAAAAAAGGAAATGAATACTTTATTATGAAACAGACTAAAATGAAAAAATTGATACTTTGTTATGGGATGGAGGGAATAGATTGTATTGTTACAATGACAATGCAAGATTAAATAGATGATAGAAATCCAAGTGCACATACACACATATGCATATATTCTCGGAGAATCGGAATAGTAGATTTAACTAAAATAAGAACAAGGAAGAAGTTTTGAGTACTTAAGTAAATACCTCCTACCTCGAGCCATTTTCATTTGGCGGCGGCGGCTACAGCTTCTTTCATTTCCAACAAAGCTTCTTCAAAATATTTAGCGAGAATTTTGGGGTCTGGAATAATATCTTTTGCTACCAAAATTTGCATGTCCGCATATCCGGCGTAGCTCACCATATGCATTATTATCGCCTACATGAGATTGACACAATGCAATGGCCCCAATCAAAACTTGTTCATTAATGAAATCATATCAAGAAAGACTCTATATACTATTTACTACATGAGGAAGTGCGCTCGTTGTCACGCGAATGTGCTTGACAGTGTTTCCCCAAAGTGTCATTTTGTCGTTTGGTCCAACCACATTGGAGATGGTAAACATCGTGTTACAAATGATACGGTAATTAAAGATGCTAAAGGGCTGCAAATTGAAAAGCAAACAAACATACACGGCCAGATGATCATCGATGATATTTGATTAATAAAATTTAATGTTGAAATTAATTGTAGAGCGATTGTGAGGTCTACCTTAGTCCCAAAGAAATATGCGACCAAAAAGCAGAGTACGTAAGTGAAAAATGCTTCCAACGAGAGCTTCTTCCTGTCAATTATCGCCTTGGCTTTCTTTACAGAGTCGAGAGGATCCAAACTACGCTTGTGGTAATAAATTGGTAAAAGAATCATTCCAAATCTATTGCCCTGCGGAGTGTTGGGATGGAGATTTTTAAGACCGGATGAGTCATGTTGTCTTAAATTTACTGGCACAGCTCCGGTGATTCGGTCACCTTCTTTCAATCCTACTCGAAGACAACAATTACAACGACGAAGATGACAACAATAACAACAAAGTGAAAAGATGTATGCAGAAATTGTTAGAATTATGTAAAGAGATACTTATTCTTACCGTTGGTTGATGATCTGGTGTCTAAATATCTTGAAAGACCACTCGATGTTATCCCGAAAAGAACATCATTAATTGTCTGTCAATTTCATTAAATATTATCAAAATAAAAACATATGATGTTATTGATCCATATGAAATATGTCTATCCTTACCTTTCATAACCTTTATAGTGTAATTTGTAGTTATAATAATTTTTTGTTTGTTTGTTTATTTTTATATAAAAGAATTCATGGTACTACAAAATCTATTTTAATTTAAATTTTCTTAATGCTTTTTACTTAGTAGTATCTATTTATATTACATTACTTTCATGCTCTCTTTTTTTTTTTTTTTTTTACCTCATGCAATTATTTATTGTTTACAAGACAAGACACCTTTATATTATAAGTGAACAAGCTGTCCACGAATTTGTTAGGCAAAATATTTCACAAGTACTTTTGAAGAAAACACTAGCTTTAGATTTTGTTTATTTGCATTTTTTGTTTATTTATATTTATTAAATTTAATAATTTTGAAGTGAATAATTTTATTATTTATTTTTATTATTATTATTATTATTATTATTATTATTATTATTTTTTTAATAAGGAATTCAAATATGAATTTCTCATCTTATATCTTACCAATTTTGCCAACTATTACAATGATAATGAAAGGATAATATAATAAATGTCGTGACAATATTGCCGCTTGGAAGTCAGCTATTGAGATTTAAATAATAAAAAATTTGAATTGAAATAATAATTTATTGTGATATAAATTGTATTGATGTGATATTTTAAATATAAATTTATTTTTTTATTATAAAAAATAAAAATAGATATATAACTTAATACATTTTAGGGGAAAAAAATTAATAAATAGTAGTATAATTTGATTTGCAATCAACAATCAAGTGGGGCTTTATATCTCCAAGATTTTTATTAAATTGCAATATAAGGAATTTAAGCTTTTATTTTTGTCTTTTTCTTTGAATAAATTTGCACCCATACAAAAATGGAGGAAATTTCACACACACATATATGCATAAAATAATTAAGTTTGAATCAAATTTTCTGATCAAATCATATATATATATATATAGGTCAATATGAATTAAACATAATAATAAATATAGCGGATTAGTATTGAAAATCTAAACTCGAATCGAATGCAACTAATTCGACTATAATATACTAATATTAATTAATTAAGTAATTATATCCGGAGTATAAAATAATTTTAATATAATAATAGCTCATATATAAATTTAAATTGAGTTTTATCTTAAATAATTCAATATAATTCATTGTACACATTATATTACAACTAATAAAAATTGTGTGTTAGTTTGGGGATTCTCCCAAAAATACACTATTCATCTCATTTTTTTCCCCCAAAAATATCAAATCAAACATTTTATTTTTCTTTTTTATATTATACTAAAAATTAATTTTACATTCAAAACATCACATCAACACCTATTTATGTCGCATCATACAACTATTCAAATTCAAAATTTTTACTATTCAAATCCCAACTCAAAATACAATCCCCCAAACAAAATTTGGATAAATTTTTTTGATGTAATTATGTATACGGTGCAATACAACTATAATATGTTAATAAACATGTTAAAATTGCGTAATTCTTCTGTTTAAAAAACTTAAAAGGGACATGAATCCACCGCCAGCTTTAAACTATGTTGCATGAAACCATAAATAGAATAAATATACTCCTTTTATACAATATTACTATTTCTTAATTTAGTAATTGTACTACCTATCTAACATAATAAATATCCTTCTCATTTTTACACTATATTACAGAAATGTTATTACTTTTATATTACACAATACTGGTAGGGGTATTTTTGTCTTTTTCACTACAACCAATTATAATACTAACATTAAAAAATTTATGTACTAAAAATAAACAACAACCTTGCACTTAGAGGAAGGAAGTATATATTTTTTATTTCAATTAAATTACTTAATATATACTATATATATATATAAATATATATAAGGTCGAAAAAAATCTAACTAACCGAATTTGGAACGGCACGCTTGACGGCTTTCATGTCGTCCAATCGGAACCTCGCCGTTGCCAATTTCCGCGGCCGGAGCTCTACGCCAGCGCCGCCGCTCACGGCGGTCCTTTTATCTCTTCTCCAGAGCAACGTCGACGTCGTCTCTAAAACATAAAGCACAGTAAACCAAACAGTCTTCAACAGCGTTACAACGCTCCACCGCCTCGGCATAAACGACGACGTTTTGACGGAGTGAATAGCCGTCGGCGTCTGCGAAGGATCGTCAATCCTTCTACAGTTGGACAGCACCATCGCCATTAAATAGACGCCGTCCCCCAGCGCGTGGTGCACACGGAAAACCACAGTTTTATGCGCCACCAGGAGGTGGATTTCCCACAGCGGTTTGTCGGCGGAGAGCGGCGACGAATGAGAGAGATCGGCGAGGTAATCGTTCACGGCGTCTTCGTCAGAATCGTCGGAGAGGCGGCGGTGGATGAAAATCAGGTGGCGGTCGACGTCAATTTCAGTTCTCCGCCAGTACTCGCGGCCGCCGGAATCTCTGACCATGAGGCTGCGGAACTTGGGGTGAAGCATGAGGAGAGAGTTTTGGATCTCGGATTTGATGGAATGGAGGGGAATCTCGCCGTCGCAGACCATGGCGCAGTTTATGACTTGATGGAGGCGCGGGTGGAGGAAGAGACGATCGACTACAGTCACTGGCTCGTCTCTGATCTCCTTGCTGTTCCGATGATCTTCCGCCATTGTTGATTGATTGTTAAGCTTTAGAGTCTGTGAAATTGAAGGCGGTTTGATTCGCTGCATTGGTCCAGTGCACCTTTTATACTCCACAAAATATATTTACATTTAATAATAATTAATAATAATAATAGCATGATATAACTTAAAGCAATATTAATTACAGCTAATAGTTATTTCTATAACATGTCGTATAATAGTAACATATAAGTACAGATAATCAATTAGGATATGTTTCTTTTTACCAGAAAAAATTGGTTTAGATTTGATATTAAAATAATATATAATAAAATATTCTTTTTTTAAAAAATATATTTTCTTTTTCGAAAAACGCATCATTTAAATAGTAAAAAACTGAAAAGCTTGAGAATACTTCTTAAAATTTTGTATGAGGTATTGCAACATTTTCAAACTATTGAAGTAGGATTTCATACACAAAGTTAAGTTAAAACACAATACTAAGGCTTCGTTTATATGTTGTTTTTGGAATTATAAAATTTTTTAAGAATTTTAAAGATGTATTTGTTTGCAAGATTTTAATTTTGGATTTTTGTTTTGAGAGGTTTTGAAGATTGAGTTTTTAAAGTGTGATTAGTTATAAAAGTTTGGATTTTAATAATTATGTTAGATGTAATGATTAAATTTTGATAGAATTAGAGGGAATTAATGTAGGGTGTGTTTTTTGGGACAAATAAGATTTAATGATTAAATTTAGATAGAATTAGATTAATTTTAATACTAAGGCTTGCTTATATTAACAATGAATTAGATGTTTAATTTATCAAATAAAATAAAATTCATAGGATGACAATTATGTCATTTAAAATATAAAAAATCAAAATCTTTCAACTCATACGAAAAACAAACAAGATGTGAGAAATATAAATCTCACGTAATTTTACCAATCAAATATAAGATAAGATTTTAAATCCTAAATATAATAAATCCCATCGCATATAAATAATAATGTAAAATCCAATTCCACAAAAAGAAAAAAGTACATGAATCAAACAGACCCAAGGGTTGAAACGTTGCATCATATTGTTATTCTAAAAATACTACGTGCATTAAAGAAACTTACACTAAACATCATATTGTTGTTGTAATGATAATATATTTATCAACTACAAATATCATTTTTTTTATATATATATATATAATGGAAACCCGCAGCCGTTAAAACTCCGATTAAACCTAATACTCTGCAAACTAAGTTCCACAGGACAAGTCACACTAGACGAACTATGTATGACATGTGAACCTTTGAATAGATTTATCTTTCCAAATACTCTCTCCGACCAAGATAATTGATCTATTTAATTAAGGATACTGTATTTAAGGTAACGGTGTTTAATTAGTTAATAATAGTGAGTTATAATATTATTTTATTTTATTTTTTTAATTAATAATTGATAGTTTTAGCCATAACTTTAAATGGCCCCTCTCTGATAAGGAAGGAAAGGAGAAAGTCTAATCCGATTGTGTTGTGTTCTTGCGTCAAAGGACAAAGGTATTTGGATTGAATTCAACTCAACTCCCATTGTTCTATTTTTAGCCTCGGATAAGTCCCCCTCCTTCAACTCCCTGTTTGCTCTTTCATTCACCTTGAAAACCGAGCTTTTAGAATAGAATGCTTCGCTAACCGAACCGAAACACAATAGAGAAAACCTCTTCCCGGCTTTTTTGTTTAATAAGGTCTTCTTCTATCTCAAACTCGCACGAAAGTGCGCAGTTCCGTTCCCAACTCCTCCTTTATCTCTTTCTCAAACTCAAAGTCAACTTTCTCACCTTAAGAAAGAGGTGCGTAAGCCAAGGCGAGCTTATGTTATAGAAAGGGAAGGCGGACTCCCAAGAGCTCTTATCGACGGAGTCGTTTGGCACCTCGATGTCGACCTTTTGTGAATCAGTTGTAGTTGCGTCTTTACTTGAAATAAACTTAATATATATTGTTAAAAACTTAGAATATGTAGTTAATTATTTTAAAAATTATATCAAACTAAAAAATAGATGCAATACATATATCATTTTGTAAAGAATAAAATTTTATATAACATGTAAATGAAAAATTATTTTTATTTATTTATAATTAATATAAACTAATTTAATTAAAGATGTAAAGTTTTAAACGTAGATAAAAATATTTATATTTTGATGAAAGAGAGAAATAAGACCGTTCCGGTGGATTCTACATGATGTATGATATTATATATTAATTATGTAGTTAATTAATTTGATTTATATTTATTAAATATAATCTGATTTAATAAGTTTACCAAAAAAAAAGAAATGTCAATGTTATGGAACAAAGAAAAATGAAAAAAATGTCATTGTTATGGATTGGATGGAGTATAACACAATGCATTAATGTAATTAATTTTTTCTTCATTAAATTTTTTAGTAACCCTAACTACCCTGATTTATATCGACCGTACGATTAAAAATAAAATCGATCAATGAGTGGATAATAGTTCAGGGTTGTCGTGAATTTATTACAAGATCAGGACCATACCAACGCTTATAATTTCATATTCATGCTAATTTCACTCAATTAACATATATTTATAAATAAGACATCATATATCCGATAGTATATGTTAAACAATCTATAACACATATCTTGACATCATCTTATATAATTTTATGTAACACAATATATTATTATTTTAGCATAATAAGCTACAATATAGTATAATATATAACGCACACAACACATGCTTCTATATATATAATACGACATATATTGTGTGCCTTGTGATGAAATATTCATTGCTTCAAATTAATATGTTAAATTGACCAAATTAACACTATAACCGTCGTTCTATCTAATATATGTACATACTAATGCATACATCTTCATATCATAACATATTAATATATATATATATATATATAGCACAAGACACTTTAATTCGTGCACTCTCATAATTTTGGAAATTTTTTATTTTTTAAATAATAAGTTTGGATAATTAGTTAAAATTTGTTAGGATAACAACTAATCTAACAAAATTCAGATCGATTTATCGAGGTAATAAATAACAAAATATGTATAAAATTAGGGTTTTGTATATCTATATATACCTAAGAGATTAAGCCAAAATCGCCCTAACAAAAATTATTATGAGATTTTCGTCCAACATTGTACAGGTTTGGAAAAACGGCGATCCCGACCTTTCGCCCTAACAATTTTTTTTTTTTTTTTATCTTTATTTTTCTTAACTATGTGATTTTTGTTGGTTGATTTAATGATGATTGAACATGCTTATACGTATTCTTAAAACCTCTTATACTTTTATTTCATTATTGTGAAGTTTCTACTTTTGATTTGGACAATGCCTGATTTTTTATTTTTTTATTTCTTTTACCTTTTTAAGGGTTTTCATATGATTATTATTTTTTTTTGTATTTTATTTACGCATATAATTTTTTATCGTTCAAAGAAAGTGAATGATTTTTCACATAGAAAAATATCATTATCTCTTTTATATATTATTTATGCATATACTTTTTTATCATTCCTTATATAGTGAAAATTTTATAATAAATTTGTATCTTTTGACTTATAAATTTAAACTATATGAAAAGTTTTACTAATTATTTTTTTTATTATACTATGATGCAAAAAAATCTTAAAAGAAAAAGAGAGAAAAAAAGAATGAGAAGAAAAAAAATAGAAGAGAAAGAAGAGAAGTAGAAATACAAAAAATATAAGTATAGTATTTTTTGTCTTTTTATTTATTTACTTGATATTTTTTATCTTTTTATTTATTTATTTTATTTTATTATGTATAATAATTTTATTAAATTAATTTTATTTTTCTACTAATAGATTCTTTTTATTTTTATTATATATTTATTTACTAATTTATTTAATTTCGAGTATAATATGATAATATTTTATTATTATTATTGTATATGTATTTTTTAAAATTATCTATTGTGTTATCTTATTTTCTACTAATTATTTTTTTAATCTTTATTATGTTTGAATTTAAATTGTAATAGTATATTTATGAAATTTTGATTCGCATACTTAATATTTTTTATTGATTTAATTACTGTATTTTTTATTTAAAGTTTATTTTTTATATAAATTAATTTTTTTCTATTTTCATATAAAATTTTATTATCAAAATAAAATTTATTATTTAAAATATAAAAATTAAATTAATATCATAAATTCTATAGGTACCCGTGCTGCTAGTATCCATATATATTAATATCCATCAATTTACATATATTTTTATTTATCTATACATATATACTTTATATATTTATATATAGTAATAGTTAAACTTAGAAATGTAACTAAAAAAAAGTAAAAATTCGGACAGTTCCTTGAACTTGATTTCTATAATTTGAAAAAAATAGAATTCTTAAGCTATTACAAGATACATTAGGGTATTAGGTTCGGCCGAGGGTTTACCCAGTGCGCATTTTCGGATAGCAGCTGTGGGTTCCCACGTCATCCAAAATAAACAAATAAATAAATCGTACAAAAATTTAAAGTGATGACCCCCAAAAATTCCTCAAGAAATTTATGTATCTTGCTAAATATCCTCTTTTTCCCTGTCGGAATTAGCAAATTTAAAGGAAGTCACTTGGGTAGTTACAGTCTGTTACACGCGGGAACTATCACCTTCCGAATTCATATTGAATTGTGCGTGGTTATGGTGACCGGATGCGGTTTTTGATCGATTTTAAAAAAATCGCTTTGAGTAACTGTGAGAACAATATATATATCAAAGCACTATCCGAATTATCCGAGCATTAAGTAGGGTAGAGATCGCCGAGGATGTGTAGCTCAAGTGGTTGAGTGTTACCTTAGCATACTTGAGGTTGGAAATTATCTGATTTGATCCTAACCCTAATTCAGTTTGATAATCTAAATGTATATATATATATATATATATATTAATTATCTCCATTGCGGATAGCCTAACTAACCTAAAATGGCTTGTTTGATCATTCTTGGATCACAGGAAAAATCTATTCAGGCAAGAAAGAATGGACATAAGATGAATCAAAACATAACATTAAGTACATATTATCGCCAAAGTAATGTTATCAAACGATGTTTGTTTAATACCTTTAGCTTTTCGGGCAGCTAGACTCGGCAGCTTCCTTCATCTCAGCCAAGGCGTCTTCGAAACACTTGGCAAGAACTTTCGGGTCCGGAATCACATCTTTTGCCACCAAAATTTGCATGTCTGCATATCCGGCGTAGCTCACCATATGCATTGTTATCGCCTAACCAAAATTAAATTGTTTTTTTTATTGATTCGAATGACACATATTGGATCGAGAAATAAGAAAAAAGGACAACTAAGTCCTAATATTTACTACATTACATGAGGAAGGCTGCTGGATGTTGCCCGAATGTACTTGACGACGTTACCAACAAGCGTCATCTTCTCCTCCGGCCCGGCCACATTGGATATCGTAAATGTCGTGTTACAGAAGATGCGATAATCAATGATGCTAGTCAGCTGCAAATCCACAAGCAAATTAAATTACCAACCATCTTATTTGTTTCAAGATCATGTTAAGGATCAAGGGAGTCAGGGTAGACACGCTCATTATTTACTGTTGGCACGTGTCATCAGTTATTTTACTCCAATAAAAAGAAATTCTTTATAATTTAATAACTGTGCTATCATTAAAAAATAAATAAATAAAATTAGGGTCAGCATTTTTAACTCGAAATATTACATTTATCCAATTAATTTTTTCAAAAATAGTGTCCACTTAAGATTTAAAATCTTACAATCACCCGGCCAATTAAAGTTCAATTCAATTAAAATAATTAATTTAAATTAAAAAAATATAAAGATATTCTATTTTATCAATAATTATTTTTTTATATTAATATTATATCAAATCTTTTAATTTAATTTATCTCTATGTTTATATAGTATGACACAAGTAAAAAAATATTTGTAAACCTGTCTCGAGGAGCGATAATAAAATCAACCTTAGCCCCGAAGAAACATGTGACGAGAAGCGAGACAACGTAGGTGAAAAGAGCTTCCAATGACAGCTTCTTCTTGTCGATCATCGCCTTGGCTCTCTTCACGGAGTCGAGAGGATTCAAGCCGTGCCCATGGTAATAAATCGGTAATAGAATCACTCCAAATCTATTGCCGTGCTGAGTGCTCGCATGGTGGTCCTTTAGACTGGATAAGTATTGTTGTCTCAAATTCACCATGGTCGCACCGGTGATCCGTTCCCCTTCTTTCAAAGCTACTTGAACAACAACGACGAAAATAATGATAACAACAAGAACAATATCGAAGTGAAAGAATGTCTTGTAAGTAGACAACAATTATGGTAAATTTTACGAGTATTGATATTACCTTTGCTTGATCTGATGTTTAAGTACCTTGAAATCCCACTCGACAGTATCCCAAAAAGAACATCATTGATTGTCTGTTTAGTTGTATATTTAACCAAAAAATAACATATATTACCTATCAAGTTTTCATAATTATCAAATACAATGATAATAACAACAAATACCGACTTTGAAAATGAAATAATAGTACATGTATATATGGATAAATCAAGTCGAGTCGATGAGTCTTATATCCACTAGAAATATTAATCCTACGCAAAAATTTGTATTCTAAAATTTTTTTAGTTCCGTAAGCTTTTCGGGGAGTGTAGTAAAACTGAACTAGTAAGATTTTCGAAGTTATTGAAAAATTATTAGATCGACATAAAAATATTCGAAAAAAGAGAGTAATCTTACATGTTACATTTATACTCTCTTCGTCTCAAATATAGTGCAATATTTATTTTTGACACAAAAATTTAGGTAAATAGTATTAAGTAAGATAATTTGAAAATTAAATAATATGATTATCGAGAAAAATGTATACTTATTTTAGTGATGCAATGGAATAAAATGTGAGATATAGAGTAAATATATTTAATTATTTCTTATTTTAAAAATGTTGCGGAATGTTTGAAACGGACAAAAAAAAAAAAAAATGATGCTTTGAGACAAAAAAAAATGTTTAAAGTAGTTAATAAAGAGTTATTGTTGTTTAAAATATTTTTATATCTAATACTTTGCTTTTAATTGTTATTATTTAAAAAGAATTGAAAACTTAAACACTTTCAATTTTCAAAACATCAGTAAACGAACCCTATCAATTGCTAGTTTAAGTTGAATTTTAATTTATATTCCTTAACTAAATAAAGTTTAAGAATTAAGATGATGACATTTTTTTGGCTTGCAAAATGAAAATGAAATACTTAGTTTACACAAACGGATGTGTTTGTTTTTTCTTTCCAATAAAAAATATTCCTATTCAATTCGTTTCATTTCTAATAAAAATAAACTATTTTTGCTCCAATTAAAAATAATTATTTTACTATTTTCATTCGTCCGAATTTCAAAGTATCTTTTTCATTTTTCAATAAAAATAATTATACATTAATATCAAAATATCTTTAAATTTTATTTAAATTACAAATATACAATTATACATACATTTACTTTTTACTGACGAAAAAATCATAATCTCTTACGCAATTTCACTAACCAATAAAATACTATTATTTTTTAAAGCTACTTCAAAACCCCGAATGACCCGATTCAAAAGAGATGGAGGAAATATTATTTTTTAATAAAATATCACCAAAAAATATTATTTAAATCAAATTCAAATTAACATTCAACTTAGATTTTAATGGAAGATTTTGACACTATTCAATTTTATAAAATATCATATTAAATATCATTTTTTACTTTACAAAATATAACATCAAACAGAACCAACTATTAGCATGCGTTCTATGAGCGACTGCACATGATTCCTAATTTGTAGGGGCCATAAATATATATGAATGTATATATATATATATATAATATTAGACTAACATAATTTATTTGTAGTTTCATGAAATTATCGCAAAAATTCCCTATACTTCTCAAACTACGTCAAATTCCATCGTTGTTTCATAAACTTTGCATCTAACCTCCTCGATGATTTTTATTTAACGGTATTTGACCTAAACGCGCTCAAACTGTGAATAAATTTTAGAATTTCAATTTCTAAATCCCTAAAATTACAAATATATTCATTTTTCTTATATTTAGTCTAAAAAAAATAATAAATATGCTCAAAAAGAATAATTTTTCTCAGGTTTTAATATATTTGTAATTTTAGGGGTTTAGAATTTGAAATTTTTAAATTTATTCTTAGTTTAAATGCACTTAGGTCAAATATTGTTAAATAAGGACCGTCGATGGGGTAAGTGAAACACCGAGGGAGTTTGAATTTTTGTGCCATTTAGCCATAATATTATAGTAAATTAATAATAGATATAAATATTAAAGGAGAAATATTAAAATTACAAACAGATTGTTTATTGAAAAAATAAAAAAATTATAATTTCTAATTTGTGAGGGTCCATTAATATGTATTTTAATAAATACTAATAACTTTATATATATATATATATTACTCAAATTTTACTTCCGTAGTTCTATGTCACATGAAAGATTTAATGGACTAGTTTTGGTAACAATTGAAAATAAAATTTTGGATATAATTTGTTACGAAAATTTGATAGATGAATTTGCTTAAAAAATGCTCGAATGACAGAATTCTTCAAAAAATAATAAGTAAATCAGCAATTTTTTATTCTTACAGTTACTCTTTAATACTGTAATTTTATTGTTTGTAAAATATGTTATAACTTTTCATACATTATTAAATTTATGATTTATAATAAAAAAAATTTAAAAATATATTTTGATTTTAAAGAGCTTATTTTTTAATTTTGCATATGACCTAAAATAGTACGAAATGACTCTTACAGAAAAATTATTTTTTTAGGTCAAATCCTTGTAGATCAAGCAGTGAAAGATTCTTCGTTTGAGGTTGAGTCCCAGGCACGCATGTGTTGGGTGAAATTCCCGTCGCGGGTGTGAATGTGTGCGTGTGTGAAAAAAAAAAAAAAAAAAACTATTTTTTTAGTATTATTTTCAATCTCTTTCTAGAAAAGCCTATTCGTTTATCGTATTCTCTCTTTATAAAATATAGAAAAATTAAATAGTTTGATAAATGCCACGCAGGTGCGGGATGAAATTTCCGTCAGGGGTGTGAGGGTGTGCGTGTGTGAAAAAAAAAAAAAAAAAATTAATTTTTTAGTATTATTTTCAATCTTTTTCTAGATAAACCTATTAGTTTATCGTATTCTTTCTCTATAAAATATAGAAAAATTAAATAGTTTGATAAATGCCACGTATGTGTTCCGACAAACTTTCAGCTTTCAAGGACCGCTCTAGAAGCCTATACATACATGACTTCACTTCATTTATTTATTCAATGTAAAATAACAATGAGTTTTTTTCGTTTTGTATTTTTATAGATATATATATATATATATATGTATGTGTTTATATTGGATGTAAAAATTGCATTGTTAATATGATAATTTAAAAGGCTTTAATAAATATATAATTAAAAAATATATTAGTAAAAATAATTATAATATAATATAAATAATTAAATAATTTAATTAAAATTAAAAAATAATAAATTTTAAAATTTTAAAATGTCATTAAAATATATAATTATTTTAATAAAATAACAAATTATATAAAATTGACCGAATAAAAAAAATGAACATTTAGGATAGAAAATAATAAAAATATTATTATTTTTTTAGAAAAAAATTACAATAATTAAATAATAAAAAATAAAGTCAAATTCTACAATATTTTAAATGATTTGACTATGGAGCAGTTCCACAAATCCATTTTAGTGAACTAGGCTAAAAAATTTACCATCGAACACGTTCGTGTATTTTCCCAAATTAGTATATATATATATATATATATATTATTCCCTCAGTCACAAAAAAAATTGTACTCAAATTGTAGTATAATTTTTTATTAAATAAAAAATAAAAATATTTTTAAGTGACAAACAAATAAAAGTTAAATACATATTTAAGTGATAAAAATAGTATATTTTATGAACAATTTGAAATAATAAGCTAACTAAATCAATTATAAGTAAATGAAAATAATTAACATAGCTTTCTTAAATATGCTCAAAGAAATGAGTTATACATTAGTGTTACGTACGAAATTTAGAATTAGGTTAAAAGCCCAAGGTAAAAAGAAGAATGGGCCTGACAATAGGGTTGATTGAACTGGCTGAAGGACACCGTGAGGAAATCAAGGAAAATAAATTTATTTATTTATTTCTAAGGAAAATACAGGACGGAAGGACCTCAGGTCGGTAGGTCCTCAGGACGGAAAGACCTCAGGTCGGAAGGTTTTCAGGTCGGGAGGTCCGCCAGACGGGAAGACCTCAAGTCGGAAGGTCTTCAGGTCGGGAGGCCCTCAAGATGAAAGACCTCAAGTCGGAAGGTCTTCAGGTCGGGAGGTCCGCAAGACGGAAAGACCTCAAGTCGGAAGGTCTTCAGGTCGGGAGGTCCGCAAGACGGAAAGACCTCAAGTCGGAAGGTTTTCAAGTCGGGAGATCCTCGAGACAGAAAGTCGTTGAGATGGGATATCCGCAGGTCGGGTAAACTGTAGGTCGGATAGAAGGAGGAGTCGGACAAACACGGAGGCCTTTGATCAAATATAGGGGGCGGTTGATATGGAGGTCGGCCCAAGTGGGGTCGGGCGAAGAAGTAGGTCGGACGAAGGACGAAGTCGGGCCAAAAGAGCGGAAGGTCTGTAGTTGGCTCAAGGAGTGAAATATAGGGATTTTTGGTCTGCTGGGGACACGTGTCAGCATAAGAAAGGTTGGAAGACGGTTGAGAAGGAGACGTTGTAACCGTTCGGGTGACGGTTTTCAGTACGGTTTCCCAGGGAATATTTAAGGATTTGGATCATCATTTGGCAAGGCATCTTCAATCAACTTCAACAAAGCAAAGTCAGATTTGGGGATCACCACTTTAAATTTCAGTATTTTATTTTCCAGTTTAGTTTCTGTACGTTACAGTGTTTAGAGATTCCTAATCTCAGGCACTAATTAATCAAGTTTAAGGATATTTTCTATGTCTTTGAATTTTACTTTATTTTTGTTGAAAAAATACATCAACAAATTGGCGACCACAGTGGGAGCAAGACAAAATTGCTCATTCCAATTCCGGCGATAATTTCATACGTCTTAGATCCGGCCGAATCATCGGAAGGGTCCATATGGCAGGGTCACAACCGCAAGCATCTTCGACACCGGTGGGAGAATCCGTTCCACCACCCATTGTGCCAAATGCCGGGGAAATCCCACAACCACCAACTGATTGGTGGTCTTATGTTCAACAAATGAACAACCAGCATACCTTGATTATGCAGAATATGTTGCGTGAGCAACAAACGAACATGTTGCGTGAGCAACAGAGTCAGTTGCAGAACATGATAGATCAAGCATTGTCAAGGGTTAGTCTTCAACCCACTC